AAAAAAAAAAAAAAAAAAAAGTCCCTCTCTAGCTCCTAAGGTAAAGGCTATGGGGCTGAATGCTTGTGTCCCCCAAATTTCATAGGTTGAAGTCCTAATCCCTAAGGTGATGGTACTGGGAGGTGATTAAGTCATGAGGGTAGAGCCTTATAAAGGGGGCGGGTGAAGTTGGGGGGAAGAACACCAGCCCACAACCTTTTCACCATTCAAGGACAGAAAGAAGGCTCTGCTTAGGAGCCAGACACCAGTCCTCAAGGGCCTGGATCCCAGACTTCCCAGCCTCCAGAACTGTGAGCAATACATTTCTGTTTAGAAGCCACCCGGTTTACGGTAGTGTGAATTGTTACATCTGCCTGAGTAGACTATGACGTCTGCTGCTGTCTCACTTCCTAAATTGCCTTTGGTTTCACCTTATTGTATGTCCTTGGAAGTGCTAGAAAAGTGCATATCCCAAGGGCAAAGATTTGTAGCCTGCCTGTCCCTGGTCTGCAGAGTCTTATGTTCTCTCGTGCTACAAAGAGGCCCCAGAGGCCCGAGAAGAAGATGGAAAGAAGGAATGAGTCAGTCATCCAAGAAGTCTTTATTTTCCCACCTGGTTACTGTTCTGGAGTTTGTATCCTCAGCTCTGAGATGGGGCTGGGGTGACAGTGCCAGGGAGGGCCTGTGGGGCTGGGCTGTTGCTTCCCTACAGGCTGGCTCTGAGCGCAGGGGAGGATCAGGCACTTGAGAGCCCCCCGCCTCGCCTCATTGGCGTAGAGTCGTGCCTCTCACGGGGTTCAGGGGAGGTGGAGGTGCGGGCGAGTCCACCCCAGGCCTGTAAGGAGGGAGGAGCTCCTCCGTAAGGCCAAGCAGAAGCATTAGGGAAATCATCCTGTTTCAGCACTGCATGTTCTTCAGGAGAGAAGTCCTGAGTGAGGAAGCCCAGCTGTTCTCCAGATCCAGCTCCTTAGGGTTTCCACAGAGAGCTGGTAGCAACCAAGGCAGCTCTCAGGGGTGGCGTGCCAGGTGATGCGGCATCTCACCTTCATCCCCATCTCAGGATGGGCAGCCAGTATCAGATTCAAGGAGGACAAATCCTGAGGTGTGGAGTTCAGTCCTGAGATAGACCTGAGGTGCCCTGGAAATTGTGTTGATGCCGAGATGGATGAGGGGCTTTAGCTCTTTGGGGTAGATGGTGAGGGGTCCCAATTCGGTCCAGCCTCCATGTTCTCATGGATGGTTATGACCCTGATTGTTTTTGGAAACAACCAAGCTCTCCAGGCGTACTCAGCAAATGCAGGGTAGAGAGGGCCGTGGCCCGCCGTGGTTGGTTTTCTAAAACCAGACTGAGCACTTTGCCTCCGCTTCTCCCCTTGCCTCCTTCTTTCTTTTCTTTCTTTTGAGATGGAGTTTCACTCTTGTCACCCAGGCTGGAGTACAGTGGTGTGATCTCGGCTCACTGCAACCTCCGCCTCCCAGGTTCAAGTGATTCTCCTGCCTCAGCCTCCTGAGTAGCTGGGATTACAGGCACTTACCACCACGCCAGGCTAATTTTTTGTAATCACCTGACCTCAGGTGATCCGCCCGCCTTGGCCTCCCAAAGTGCTGGGATTAAAGGCGTGAGCCACCACGCCCAGCCCCCTCTTTCTTTTGTCTTCCTGCGTACCCAGGGCATTATCTGAGCCATAGAAGCAGAACAGAGACTGCTGAGAGCCTCCCTAAGAGTCATTGGTGGGAGTGGCCAGCAACCACAGAGGCAGGAGCAGCCCTCTTTGCCTCCGAGTAGCCTCGAATGTTCCCTCTTCCAGATTTCAGCTGCCACCTGGTCACTTCTGTAGCCTACTCTCAGACACATGGGTGGAGGCAAGGGTAATCTCAGTCCTTGTTCTTTCTTTTGATCGTGGGTCTCCAGCCCTTCTGATGTGTGGTCAGGGAGCAGAGTCTCTGCTAGGATGTTGAAACTTGGAGATCAGGACCAGACTTTTCCCCACTCTTGCATCTGACCTGTGCTTGGGCAGGGCCTCGGTGGATGATCTTGGAATCACCCTTTTGTCAGTCCCAGGAAGGGGATACAGCTGCAATGGCTTCTAGAAACTTCTCTTATTGCTTTTCCCTTATGGCAGCTAAGCACTTAATGTTCATGTTATAGAAGAGGAAACTAAAGCTCACAAAGAGTGTCGTAGGGAAGACCAGGACACCTGGGCTTCCTGTCTTTAAGTTCAGAGAGACATTGGAGGTTCCCCTACTGTCCTTCTGGGGCCAACAGAGGAAGCAGAGGAGTGGCCAGTGGTGAAGACCTGGAATCTGGCCCCTTGTCCTTGCTGATGCTGCTTCCTGTGACTGCAAGCGCCGCTAAGGAGGCACTCCTTTCCCATACTCACCCATAGGGTACTCCCAGGTCACTCGGCCCACTTTCCCCAGACCCACCTTCCCAGGCTTGAGGGAGGCGGGCACCTGGGCCGTTAGAGGGTGGCAAGGGTCAGGGGCTGGCTTCCTCCGGCAGCTGGCCTGCATACAGGGCCAGAGTGTGGTGCAGGAACTGGTACTGCTCTGCCGTCTGGATCATCCCCCCTCTGCAAGGAGAAACACACAGACCATGAGTGAAGGAAGGTCAGGGTGCTAGCTGAACAGCTTCAGCCAAACATCCTCGTGGTCCTACTGGGAAAGTCCTGACTTTCTCAAAGAAATGCCAACTCCTCTACCTATATTCATCTTTCCTTTTCTTTTCTTTTTTTGACATGAAGTCTCACTCTGTTGCCCAGGCTGTAGTGTAGTGATATGATCTCAGCTCACTGCAACCTCCGCCTCCTGGGTTCAAGTGATTCTCCTGCCTCAATCTCCTGAGTAGCTGGGATTACAGGCATGTGCCACCATGCCCAGCTAATTTTTGTGTTTTTAGTAGAGATGGGATTTCACCATGTTGCCCAGGGTGGTCTTGAACTCCTGACCTCAAGTGATCTGCCCGTCTCAGCCTCCCAAAGTGCTGGGATGACAGACATGAGCCACCTATATTCATCTTTTCTACTTGCTGCTCCTCCTTGCTGCCCCTCAGATCTGCTTTGAGAGAAGTCCTCTGCCCCTTACACGTGGCTTGGTGTGCTGAGGGTGATGCCCCATGTTGACACTTGGTCTTCCCTAATCCACTCAGCTCCTGGGACAAAACCAGACCTCTGAAGCCCTAGGGGTCAGGCCAGGAATACTCCTGAGCCTCAAATTTCCTTCGGTTTTTTTTTTTTTTTTTTTTTTTGACAGAGTTTTGCTCTTGTGGCCCAGGCTGGAGAGCAGTGGCACGATTTCAGCTCAATGCAACGTCTGCCTCCCAGGTTCAAGTGATTCTCCTGCCTCAGTCACCCAAGTATCTGGGATTACAGGCATGTGCCACCACGTCTGGCTAATTTTTTGTATTTTTAGTAGAGACGGGGTTTCTCCATGTTGGTCAGGCTGGTTTCAAACTCCCGACCTCAGGTGATCAGCCTGCCTCTGCCCTCCAAAGTGCTGGGATTACAGGTGTGAGCCACGGCACCCAGCAACTTAATTCATCTTTCCTTTCTTTCTTTTTTTTTTTTTTCAGATGGAGTCTCACTCTGTCACCAGGTTGGGGTGCAGTGGCATCATGTTGGCTCATTACAACCTCCGCCTCCCAGGTTAAAGGGAATCTCCTGCCTCAGCCTCCTGAGTAGCTGGGATTACAGGTGCATGCCACCATACCCACCTAATTTTTGTATTTTTAGTGGAGACGGTGTTTCACCATCCTGGTCAGGCTGGTCTTGAACTCCTGACCTCGTGACCTGCCCGCCTGAACCTCCGAAAGTGCTGGGACTACAGGCATGAGCCACCGCACCCAGCAAGTTTCTTTCTATCCAATAATGTTAAAAGTAAAAATAATGATCCTACACACTTGTATAGTAGTTTTCATTTCCAAAACACTTTCATATAAGTAAATTCATTTCTTACAACAGTTTTCTGGGGGAAGGAGCCATTATCTCTTTCTAAATAAAGAAGTAGGGGCCGAGCATGGTGGCTTAAGCTTGAAATCCCAGCACTTTGTGAAGCCAAGGTGGCATTATTGAGCCCAGGACTTCAAGACTAGTCTGGGCAACATAGTAAGACCCTATCTCTATTATTGAAAAAAAGAAGAAGAAAGAAAGAAAGAAAAAGAAATGGGGGCTCGGAGAAATCTAGTGACATCTCAGTGAGACAGAAGTCCGAATCTGAACACTGGCTCTGTCTCCACCTGGTGAGCTTCTTTGCACCACTTGCTGCTGCCTCGTATCTTGGATTAAACACACCCCACGTGCTAACTTTCCTCTGAGTATGGAACTTGGGGGTAAGATTGAATGCCCAGGGTAAATCCATAGAGTGACATGTTTAATTCCAGGTCTCCAAGCCAACATTCCAGATAGAAATTCTTTTTGTTTGTTTGTTTGAGTCTCGCTCTGTTGCCCAGGCTGGAGTACAATGGCACAAGCTTGGCTCACTGCAACCTTCACCTCCTGGGTTCAAGCGACTGTCCTGCCTCAGCCTCTCGAGTAGCAGGGATTACAGGTGCCTGCCACCGCGTCCAGCTAATTTTTGTATTTTTAGTAGAGATGGAATTTCACCATGTTGGCCAGGCTCGTCTTGAACTCCTGACCTCAGGTGATCCACCTGCCTCAGCCTCTCAAAGTGCTGGATTACAGGCGTGAGCCATCGTGCCTAGTCATCCAGATAGATATTTTTTCCTGGTTGCTAGTTGCAAAATAAACAGCTCTAAGCAGAAAAGGTTTCTTCCTTTCTTGCAGGAGTGCTTGATGGTGATGGATCGAGCAGGGCTCTGGGGTCCAGAGGCACCGATGCCCCCCGTTAACGTTGTTTGCCTTGTTTCCATCCACAGACCCACCTGTCTAGCCGCAGTTGGCACACAATGCCCAGAATGTCCACTTCCCCTCGGGCCTTCAGCTGTTGACAGCCAATTCTTGTGGCGATGAAGCAGCCCGTCCGGCCAATCCCTGCACTGGATATAGCCAGGGAGGAGACAGGGAGGTCATGGGAGACAGGGAATATGGGAGCCAGGGCCCCAAACTGCGGAGAAAGAAATGGGACCTGCGGGTACTGTGTTTTGGGGATAGGGCTCTGGAGATGGGGGAAGGTAGCAGTACTCCAGATTCCAGTCCCCTTGGGGACCCTGCTGGAGGCAGGTTGTAACTGGCCCAGAAGGAGTTTACATTTCTTACCTGCCTCACTGTAAGCCTGTCCTAACAGGGGCCTGTCCTGGTCCCTGTGGACGTTTTGACGATTTCCCTTCTGCTGAGAGGCTACAGCGGTTTCCAACGGACAGTTCCCCACTTGTGAACGTGCTGACCCTCGAGCCCTCCTTATCTAACCTTGACTTTGTCTCAGCCCAGACTTATCTTTTTTTTTTTTTAGATGGAGACTTTGTCTGTCACCCAGGCTGGAGTGCAGTGGTGTGATCTCGGCTCACTGCAACCTCCACCTCCCTGGTTCAATCAATTCCCCTGCCTCAGCCTCCCTAGTAGCTGGGATTACAGGCGTGTGCCACCACGCATGGCTAATTTTTTTGCATTTTTAGTGGACAAGGTTTCACCATGTTGGTCAGGCTGGCCTCCAGCTCCTGACCCTGTGATCCGCCCACCTGAGCCTCTCAAAATGCTGGGATTACAGGCGTGAGCCACAGCCCCCCGCCCCGTCAGACTCATCTTTCACATAGCCCACGCCCAGCCCTTCTGTTTCCCACCTCGGCGCCCTCCCACAGCCTTCTCTCTGCTCTGCTCTCCTCCACCATGCCCTCTCTTCATTTTGAAATAAAGAGGCTCCCAGGGCTCCCCTTCCTCTTGTGTGACCGCTAATGAACTCCCAGCATGTCTCAGTGCTGCCTGTGGGTGGGCTGGGAGGCCCCTCTGCCGTGCTTTTGCCTCTGTGCTCTGCTTTCTTTAGGATATGCACTTCCAAATGGCTTCTTTCTTTAGTCTTGTCCCCCACGACACCCTCTCACTTCACCCAATCCATTTTTCACACTGTAGCCAAAGTGTTCTTTTAAAATGGCAAATCCAAGCGTCTCAGCCAGTCCTACAAGGTTCCTCATCATCTAACCTTCACTGGCCTTCCAAACCCATCTCTCATCATTACCCCACAGATAACCTCTGGGCCTGGCCCATAACCCTGCCCCCAGCAGTTATCCATTTTCACATTTCTTCTCTGGGCTTTAGCATACGCTGTTCCACCCGCCTGGAATGTGTTCCCTTCCCTCCCTTAACTTGGCTAATTCACCTTTCAAGTCTTAGCTTGGCTTAGATGGCCTTTCTCTTGGAAAACCTTCTTTGGTCAAAGTCTGGCTTAGGAGACTTGGTTCTATGCCCTCATAATATCCCCATCACGTCTCTCATCACGTTGTGTGGTATTTAATTGTTTAATCTGCCTTCTTTTTGTTTTTGAGATGGAATCTTGCTCTGTTGCCCAGACTGCAGTGCAGTGGTGTGGTCTCGGCTCACTGCAACCTCCACCTCCCAGATTTAAGCGATTCTCCTGCCTCAGCCTCCCAAGTAGCTGGAATTACAGGCGTGTGCCACCATGCTTGGCTAATTTTTAGTAGATACGGGGTTTCACCATGTTGGCCAGGCTGGTCTCGAACTCCTGACCTCAGGTGATCCACCTGCCCCTGCCTCCCCGGTGCTGGGATTACAGGTGTGAGCTACTGTGCCTGGCCTAATCTGGCTTCTTTCTCACCAGCCTTTAAACCTGTCTGGGAAGAAAGCAAGTTGCTTTGTTCACAGCTGTCTCTCTAGCATCTAACACTGTGCCTGACAATAATAGGTTTTCTTTTCTTTTTTTTTTTTTGAGATGGAGTCTCGCTCTATCACCCAGGCTGGAGTGCAGGGGTGCCATCTCTGTTCACCTCCACCTCCAAGGTTCAACCTCTGCCTCCAGGGTTCAAGCAATTCTCTTGCCTCAGCCTCCTGAGTAGCTGAGATTACAAGTGTGCACAACCACGCCTGGCTAATTTTTGTATATTTTGGTAGAGATGGGATTTCACCATGTTGGCCAGGCTGGTCTCAAACTCCTAATCTCACGTGATCTGCCCTACTTGGCCTCCCAAAGTACTGGGATAATAGGTGTGAGCCACCAGGCCTGGCCAATAATCGGTTTTCAATACATATTTGTTGAATGAGTAAATGAATTCCCCAACAGCTGGAATCCTGTTTATGTCCTCCTGCAGCTGACTGGGACCTTCCTGATATTCCATCCCCCCTGTGGATGGGGCCTGGGTGTCCAGCCCAGATGTCTGGGTTCTGCATGAAGGAGGTGAAAAGAATAGAGCCCTTGCTGAATGGCCTTGCGAGTCATGTCCAAGTAAGAACTAGGCTTACCTGATGCTTTTCTGCTCAGACCCTTCCCCAGGAGAGACCCAGGGGCCAGGGGAGGGGCGCGCAGTACCCAGGCTGCAGTGGGAGGGAGGCCACGCACCTGCAGTGGACCACGATGGGCCCCGGGCGGGCGGCTGCCTCGGGGCTCTCCTCCACCTCTGCCACTAGGCGCAGCAGGGGCCCAGCTGATTCTGGTGTCTGATGGTCGGGCCAGGCCGAGAAGAGGATGTGCTTTACTGACCGGCACTCTTCCTGGTACTAGGTTGGAGACAAGGCATGGGAACCAGGGTCAGGGTGGAGGGCACTGTCTACCTTCTTCTCTGGTGCCTGAGGAGGGCAAGGGCTGGAATTACCCTATGGGGGTGGGCAGGGGTCATCTACTCAAAGCAGGCTAGGTGGCGATTTTCCCACTCATCATTCTCCACCACTTCCCCCTCCAAAATGCTGGGAAGGAGCATTGTCCTGGGAGAGATCCAAGTCTGTCTCAAGTCCTGGCTCTGCTTCTAATAAGCACACGACTTTGGGCAAGTCCCTTAATGTCATTTTCGTCATGGAAAATGGGGACAGTGTTATCTTACTGGTTTACTTGCCAGGATGTTTGGAGGAGAATGAATTGATGGAGAAATGCTTTCAAAACTATAAAACAACAGAAAATAATAGAAGGCATTTTAAAAGCCCCTATGTACATGTTTTTCCACATCTCTTTCTTTCTTTTTTTTTTTTAATTATTTTTATTTTTAGAGATGGGGTTTCACCACGTTGGCCAGACTGGTCTCAAACTCCTGATCTCAGGTGATCTGCCCACCTCAGCCTCCCAAAGTGCTGGGACTACAGCCACTGCTCCCTGCCTTTTTTTTTTTTTTTTTTTTTTTTTTTTTTTTTTTTTTTTTTTTTTTTTTTTTTTTTTTTAAGACAGAGTCTCACTCCATCACCCAGGCTAGAGTGCAGTGGCATGATCTCAGCTCACTGCAACCTCCGCCTCCTGGGTTCAAGTGACTACCCTGTCTTAGCCCCCCAGGTAGCTATAATTTTTACTAGAGATGAGGTTTCACCATGTTGGCCAGGCTGGTCTCGAACTCCTGACCTCATGATCCGCCCACCTCAGCCTCCCAAAGTGCTGGGATTACAGACGTGAGCCACCACGCCCGGCCTTCCACGTCTCCTTCAACCTTCTCGCCTTCCCTCGGCATGACTCCTGGATCCTGCCTCTCCTCGCCTGACCATTCACACAGATGGGTGGTACTTCCTGGTGGTTCCTATTTGGCTTGTTGGCTTTGCCCTATTAGACTAGAGGCTGAGGACAGTGCTCAAGTTTCTCTTTCTTCTATAGATGTAGGTTTAAGATGGTTTAGATGAGCAAGCCCTTGGCTCTTAGCGAAGAGCCGGCCTGAGTTCAGAGATGTTGTGGGAGGCCCAACTTCCCACTGGGCCTGGCCCCAGGGGTGGTACCTGGATGGTGAGCTGCCGCACAGTGTATTCTGGGCACTCTTTCATGTCCTGGATGCGGATCTGGAAGGGTCCATAGGCTTCCTCTTCTGTGGGCCAGTAGTGGACACATTTCTAGGAGAGAGGGAGCTGGGAGTCAGAAGAGGGTCAGCTGGAACAGGGGAATGGGGCAGCAGAGAGGGGCTGGTGTCTCCTCCCCATCTTCCACCCCAACTGGGTGGGTGGTCATCAACAGGGGGCCTGGCTCTTCTGAGCTTGATACCTGCAGTCAGAGTGCTCACTCTATCCCATATTTTGGCCATGGACAGCCTTCCTAGGTCTATCTCAGGGAACTTTCTGAGAGGTGTGGGCTGGGGCTGGATTCCAGGGAAGGCTCTGGTCCTGAGCTGCTGTGGGTGGCGGTTGGGGGGTGGGGTGAGCATAGCACTTTCTGGATTCATCAAGAACTGTGGCTCTGCTCCTACCTCCTTGCCCTCTCGGAGCTGAGTGAGCATGACAATGAGAGACACTTCCTCTTGCCACACCATCTCCCAGAAGTCCGACACAGTGTTGGGCATGGGGCCCTGGGTGGCAATGTAGACCTTCTCCTTCCCGTCATAGCCCTGGGGAGGTGGAAGCACAGGGGAAGGGGTGGGGAGCAGTGAGAGCAGAGCTCTGGGGAGATCCTGGATGCCCCAGGTGCTGGGGTCAGCCTGAAGCTGTGAACACATGTGTAGGCACACACGTGCATGAACACGCACATTCAGAAGCCACATGGTGGAAAGGATTCAGGTTCTGGAGTAAGGATCAGATCCCTGTTCTTCAGTTTCCTGGCTGTTCCACTATGAGCCAGTTACTTAGCCTCTGTAAGCCTCAGTTGTATCAGCTGCAAATTGGGCATAATAATGTCTATCATAATACAGAGTGGATTAAATTCAGTAAGATATATTGAGAGTCTAGCTGATAGCAAGTGTTCTGCAGATGTTTGTTCCCTTCCTCCCCTGCTGCTTTCTTCTAGCATAAAATAGCTAAACAGTGTCTAATATTTGTTCAGTGACAGTTTCACATTAACTTGTTACTTTTCTATAAAAGTAACAGCAAAATGCAGCACACTCTCCCTAACCTGATTTTCTCACCTTCAGGATCCTCAGCTTCCTGCTCCTCAAATGATGGTGAAATCCTGACTACAGTTGATTTGGTATTGGCTGGCAAATGGAACATCATATGTCCCCACGGCTTCCCGAGCTAAGAGGTTTATCGCCTCCCTGCACCCCTGACTGCTGTCTTACCCACATTGAGCCACTAGAGAGCACTGCTTTTACATCTCCTTTGGGCCCACAGCAGCGAGAAGCTGGCGTGGAGCACCTACCTGGCCCAGAGCTTCCTATATCTTGATGTCAATCAACCTCCTTCACATAAGAGGGACTACTTGAAGGACACTTAGGTAAGAGGGGAGGGATGTCCCATTAGTGCTGGCATCACCTATGCAGGTCTCGGGAGCTGTGAGCTCTCAAGCAGCTGGAGATTGGGCTCAACAATGCTAACTTCCTGCTAAGTCTAGAGGGTGCATGGGAGGGCTGATGGGGAGATTAGGGAGACTCGGTGGTCTCTCCAAATATTTTTAACACCTGCTCCGTTTCTAGGTTGGTGAATTGGGGCCTGTTCAGTGCCAGCCCAGCTTGGTAGGTCTATGACAGAGGTGAGCTGGAGCAGGGAGGGTGGGAAATGCAGGCACCTGATCCACCAGCCACGGCTGGAAGATATTCTCAGATGTCTGAGAGTTCCCCCATCCCCCGCCCACCACTGCAGCAGACCACTTACTCGGATGTAGTTGGCATTGATGTAGTCTCCGTCCTCCTGGCTCTGTGCCCGGCCTAGACAGACACGGCTCTGGGGATCTAGGAAATAAAAATCAGCAGAGGTCAGAGGTCAAAAGGTAACCAACTAACACAGACTCCAGCAGGGGCAGAAGGAGGAGAGTTCCTGTGCTCATCAAGTCACGGCGCCTTGTGTATAGCAGGTGGCCTGATACCCCACTGAAACCATTGTTGTTTTTTTTTTTGAGACGGAGTTTCGCTCTTGTTGCCCAGGCGGGAGTGCAATGGTGCGATCTCGGCTCACCGCAACCTCCGCCTCCTGGGTTCAGGCAATTCTCCTGCCTCAGCCTCCTGAGTAGCTGGGATTACAGGCATGCGCCACCATGCCCAGCTGATTTTTTGTATTTTTAGTAGAGATGGGGTTTCACTATGTTGACCAGGATGGTCTCGATCTCTTGACCTCGTGATCCACCCGCCTCCGCCTCCCAAAGTGCTGGGATTACAGGCGTGAGCCACCGCGCCCGGCCACCATTGTTGTTTTTAAAGACAGGGTCTCACTCTGTTGCCTAGGCCGGCGTGCAGTGATGCAATCACAGCTTACTGCAACCTCTAACTCCTGGGCTCAAGTGATACTTCTTTCCACGTAGCTGGGACTACAGGCACATGCCACCACACCTGGCTAATTCATTCATTCATTCATTCATTCATTCATTTACGTTTTTTTTT